TCATTTTCCAGCTGTTTGACCTTGGGCAAGTTATTTAATCTCTCTAGGTCTCAGTTTCTTTGTCTGTAAAATGAGAAAAATAATAATATATGGTCTTATTTGAATTTGAGTATTTATTGTTTCACTTTATGTGTGAAATCTGAAATAACCCCAATTTTCCCAAGTTAAAAGTTGTCAAGAATCTTGTAAGGCAGTGTGGATTGTAAATTGTAAACTGTGTTTATGCTAGAGCCACATAACAGCACTGTCCTAACAGGTAATCAGAAATATATACCATTCTTCAGCAGGTGAGCTATTTTTTTTTAACTTTTTAAAAATTTCCATAGTTTATTGGGGAACAGGTGGTGTTTGGTTACATGAGTAAGTTCTTTAGTGGTGATTTGTGAGATTTTGGTGCACCCATCACCTGAGCAGTATACACTGTACCCTATTTGTAGTCTTTCATCCCTCACCCCCCTTTCACCCTTTCCCCTGAAGTCCCCAAAGTCCACTGTGTCATTCTCATGCCTTTGCATCCTCATAGCTTAGCTCCCACTTATGAGTGAGAACATAGGATGTTTGGTTTTCCATTCAGCAGGTGAGCTTTTAATGACACCAGTTTTGAATTATTTGAGGTCTTTAGGAATGCCTCCCTCAAGTAATTTGACTGCTCACACCTCCCTTATAGAGTAATTGTGAATATTGAATGAGATAATGCAGCGACCAGCCCACAGTAAGCACTCAGTACCAGTTGTGATTTTTGATACTATAATCATTCCTGAGAACAAAGAGAGAGAGGATGTCATGGGAGAAGGTTGTCACACTCATGAAAATAAACAAGCAGACCTGGGTAGACCTGGGTCTGCTGTTTCCCCATCCGTAAAGTGGCCGTAATAGCGACCCTGTGAGGAGCTGAACATTTGCAAACTTTGGCATCAATGGCTATGAAGGCAGTTATAATGGCTGATGCGATTTTATAGCTTGGCATGAAAGCAAAGAGGTACAGGATTTCTACAGGTGTGCCCTACTTTCAACAAGATTGTAAAATTCAAATTTAGTCATTCAATGATTAGCTTTTAACTTTTTGTTAATATTACAATGTGTAGGCTGAGTGCAGCGGCTCATGCCTGTAATCCCAGCACTTTCGGAGGCCAACGCAGGTGGATTGCCTGAGCCCAGGAGTTCGAGACCAGCCTGGACAACATGGCGAAACCTCGTCTCTATAAAAACTACGAAAATTAGCTGGGTGTCGTGGTGCCTGCCTGTAGTCCCAGTTACTTGGGAGGCTGAGGGGGAAAAATCGCTTGAGCCCAGGAGGCAGAGGCTGCAGTGAGCAGAGATAGTGCCACTGCGCTTCAACCGGGGCAACAAGCAAGACATTGTCAAAAAAAAAAAAGAGAGAGAGAGAGAGAATAAACAACGTGCACAGACTGGCTGAGAAGGATTAAAAAGCTATGGAACATGCCCCTGCCACTGAGGAAATGAGAGCCTAGACAAACAGGGACCGATTGGCGTATCAGTGGCCTCATGTGTGGCGTATCAGTGGCCTCATGTGGATCACAGACTACTCTGTACTTTTTGTTTTGGGTTTTTAATTGGAAATTGTTGCCAATGTAAAACTTGGGAGGTTTCATATTAACATCGATGTTTGCAGCTTTTCTTGAGCAGCAGAAGGATCTGGGCAGCACTGAGCCTGCATTTACGCAGGTCACCAGGTAGCTGCCCCTTGAGACAAGGTATTACAGGCTGACTTGTGTCTCCCCAGAATTCGCACACTGAAGTCCTAACTCTCAGATTCTCAGAATGGGACTGCATTTAGAGATAGAACCTTAAAAATGGTAACCAAGGTAAAATGAGTCATATGGGTAGGCCCTAATCCAGTATGAGTGGTGTCGTTATATGAAGAGGAGATCAGGACACAGACATACACAGAGTGACAACCATGTGAAGACACAGCAGATCATGGCCACCTGCAAGCCACGGAGAGAGGACTCAGAAGAAACCAACACTCAGACACCTTGATGACGGGCTTCCAGCCTCTAGGGATCGTGAGAAATAAATGTCTATTGTTGCATGTCCCCAGACTGTGGTATTGTCATGGTGCCCCACGCTGACTAGGACAGACAGCCTGTGTTCCAGAGTGTTCACAGTCCTCACCACTCCCAAATATCATGCATCCCATTCCCATACACATTGCGCACAGCCCCTGTCAGTATCTGGGTTTGCAACCCCTAACCTAGAGGAAAAGAGTAATGATTCTCCATGTATGTTGTGTGTTCTTATTTCAAAGTTTTGATGTTCATATCTCCCTTAATTCTCCTCACACTTCTAAGAGGCTGATACTGTCATCTCCACTTGGCAGAAGAGAAAACAGAGCTCAGAAAAGGGAAAAATTACTTTTCCTAGGTCAAAGTTTGGGTGGAACTCAGTCCTGCTGGCTAGGGGCCCAGAGGTCAAGTTCCACTACCATGGCCCCTCAGCTAACAGGGGAGTTACTAACAGGGCAGTGATGTGTATGCACATGTGTATGTGTGTTACAGGAGTAAGCCACTTAATAAAAGTGAACAAATCCACGGGAAGGTTATTTGCTTGAATAAATATTTGGCACATAATTCCTTTCAAAAGAAAAGCTAGAATGGGACGGGCGCGGTGGCTCATGCCTGTAATCCCAGCTCTTTGGGAGGCCGAGGCGGGCGGATCACAAGGTCAGGAGTTTGAGACCAGTCTGGCCAATATGGTGAAACCCCGTCTCTACTAAAAATACAAAAATTAACTGGTTGTGGTGGCGTGCACTTGTAGTCCCAGCTACTCAGGAGGCTGAGGCAGAAGAATTGCTTGAACCCAGGAGGCGGAGATGGCAGTGAGCCAAGATCGTGCCACTGCACTCCAGCCTGGGCAACAGAGCAAGACTCCATCTAAAAAAAAAAAAAAAAAAAGCTAAAATAGAATGTAACTAATAGAAGTTTGATTTATGCAGGAGTTCATCTCATAGAGGCAAATTAAGGTTGGCAGGCCTTTGACCTGGAAGAAGGAGTGGGTGAAGCTGTGGGTGCGGAGAGGGACTCTGTTACCCCACAGTGAACATTCAGGAGTAGGACGCATCAGTGATTGAGACAGCAAGAGAGACTGTCTGATTAGCAGGGTCAGGATAAGAGAAGGAATAGAGAGACAGGGGAGAAGAATAGGGAGATTTGCAGAGAAAAAAGTGACATCTTGGAGAACTTGCTGAATATTCGATGGAGACAGAGTGGCTTCAAAGATGACTCCAGCCTTGTGAAAAATATCTCAGTTCATCCATACAATGACACACTATGACACCATTAGAAGAACAAAGTAGGCCTGTATATGTAGATACGTAAACAAGGCGAAGACACACTGTTAAGTGAAAAAAGCAAGTTGTACTATGGAATGTAAAGTATGCTTCTCTTTGAGTTAAAAAAAAAAAAAAGCACAAATATAGAGTATATATATATGTACAGAAGGGTTGGGGAAATACTTTCTGAAAAGACGCAAAATCTTGTTAAAGGGGTTACCTTTCAGAATTGGGAGGGAGTATGTAGGCTTTTACTTTTCTCTTTCTAACTTTTGAACTGTTCGAATTTCCTGTGATGAGCATCGTTACTTTTATAACATTTAAAACAAAAGGTAACCCTAAGGTTTAAGGATTGGAAGACAGGTAAGTGTGGTATCCCTGCTAGGAGATGGGGAGAAGTCAGACATTTGGGAGGAAACAAATTCTGCAGTGAATCTGATGTGTTACAATGAAGGGCTGTAGTGATGCTTGGAAATGTGTGGAGAGTCTGAGGATAGGGCAGTTGAAAGCAGGAGTAATTGATATAATTACTCCAGATGACAGAATAAATTAGAGAATGGTGCAGAGGGAAGGCAAAAATAAGGATGTGAGAGGACAGATTTTTAACAATGCTAACTGAGTACAGCCTTGGGTTGCCCTATGTAGGACATTGTCTTTCTATTACTGCTACTTCAGCATGGTGGAAACACAGGGTCTCTGAGAAATGGCCAGTCTAAGGAAGGGACCGCTGCAGGCTTCCAAGCAGGGCAGTTTTGTGGTCAAGGAGCAGAGGAGGATCACAATGAGGTAGTGCAAGGGACTCATGGTGTCACAGGAGAGACCTGGGCTGGGAGAGTATTAGGGCCCATTGCAATTGTTTAGCTGAAAAGCGAGGTCCTAGAATGCGGCAGCAGCAGTGGGGATGGAGAAGTAAGGACAAAGCATATTAAGACAAGTAGTTTAGGCAGGGAAGGAGAGTGAAGAGAGTCAAGAAGCATTGGGTACAAATCTCTGCCTGCCGTTCAATACCTTCTGAGCTCAGTTTGCCAGTCTGTATCATATATTTAAATAAATATGAAGATTAAATGAAATAATGCATTCAGTACATGTTAACTGTGATTGTTAGCTCGGGTATTGGACTCAGATTTACCAGACTTCAAGTCCCTTTTTCATCAGTTACTAGCTGTGCAACCCTGTCCAAATCATTAATGTCTCTGAGCCCAGTTCCTCTTTTGTAGACGGGGATAATCCGTTGTCATGAAAATGAAAGAGCACAAGTGCAGTGCTGGCAGGACTTGGCACAAAGTAGGCGCTCAATAAATGGCAGAGCTACGGGTATTACTATTGTAACGGGTAAACCACAGGGCACAGAGCCTGGCACACAGTAAGGACTCAAAACATGTTAATTTGTGTTATAATACACAAGGCAGAAGTCGAGAGGCAGGAATGCGCGAGGTGCCCAACCCGCAATAAAGGCGCGCTGGCAACTCTCCCGCCTTCCGCATCCTGCCCCGCCCGCAGCAGTGCAAGTCCTCCTCCTCCCCGCGCGCACTTGCCGCCCCCGCCCGACCGCGGTGCGGGCCACTCACCCTCGCGGCTGTCCGCCACGTCCAGGGGCGTCCGGAGCAAAGAAGCTCTCGGCGGGGCTCCGCGTCCCGGCTTTCCTCGGCTGCAGCAGCCGGGCCGAGCGCCGGCCCCAGGCATAGTTTTCCCATCCCGTCATGGGCGGGAGAGCCTTCCTCCCGGTCACGTGGGCTGGCCCGCAGCGCAGCATTCTCTTTTTAGCAGCTGTTTGGAAAAAACTTGCAGTGCTGATGACAACTCGGGTGTGTCGATGCATCTCTGCGTGGGTAGAGCCTGTTAGTGCATTTGGAGGTTGTGTGCACCAGAGTGATCAGAGTGATTGTTTCCCACACGTTTGCAAAGGTGTGCATGGACTTGAGTGTGATGATAAATCATATGGATGTGTTTAGTTGTGTGTGCGCAACAGTGCGTTTATCCAAATTTTTCATCAGGGCTGTTCGGTGTATGTACATGTGCATGCACATGTCCAAGATGGCAGCTTGGTGTACAACTGGAGTGCACATCAGCGGCTGAATGTACAGGATAGTGGCTAGACATCTATATGTGGGGTGCATGTTTAAATGTGTGTATGACTGTGCAGTGGCTCATTCTGTGTTGATTTGTATGCATGCCTTGGTGTGGATTTTGTCCAGATGTGAGTGTGCACATACACACTACTGTGGGTGAGTGCCCTGTGTCCCAGCTCTCCTTTCTCTCCTCCCCAGAAGGTGAGGATTCACTGGCCTCACTAGCTCTCTGGCCCAACCTCAAGTCATTGAGAGACTTACGGAGGGTCTCAGCTCCCGGGATAGACAAAGCAATCCTGTGTAGGAATCAAGCAGGCACTGGAGGAAAGGAAATCCTCCAAGGCCTGGCTTTCGCTTCTCCCTGTTCTTTCCACTGCTCTCTTCCACTAGCGACCCATATTTCGCTCCACAGCAAGACATCTGGTTAACAGCTGGTAACTGACACAAAATTTATAGTCAGAATTTTAATACAGCTATGCATTTGAATTCTAACGTTGGAACCACTGCCTTAATCAAGTCAGATAACCTCATAGATGGTGTTTTATTTTCTAAAAAATTGGGAGAGTATTACCTGCACTGCCTTTACCCCAAAGTTGGGATACTAACTCATAAAGATGTTTGGTAGGAAATTATTACCAATACTACATAAACACCATTTGAGAATGAAAGTTTGTAGGCTCAACAAACATTCATTCAACAAATATTTGATAAGCATCCATTATGTGTCAGTCCCCAAGCAAGGTGCTGGGGATATAGAGGGAAACAAATAGGCTTGATACCTACCCTCATGAAACTTAGAGTCCTCCAGTTGGGGATGAAACAAGTGGTTACAAGTGAAATGAGTGTTATAGAAAACAAAAAGTATAAACTGGGCAGTAAGGGGAAGGCCTGGGAAAGTGATGTTTCAGGTGAACCCTGAGAGATCAGTGAGACTTGTCTGAATGTAGGGGAAGTGTGACCTTAGAAAATGAAAGAATGATAACATGTGGAGTGGAGTTTAGGGTGTTGATACACAGATGGCTGGAAAGGAAACTTCCATCCACTGCCCCTTGGGTCAGATGTGTCAGCAATCAGAAAGGTGAGGAAACTGCTTAGAATGCCTGGAGGTCATTCAGAATCTAAAGGGCTCAGGAAAGCCCCTCTCCTAGGGTAGAGTGGTAATATCTGTGTGTTATCCATGTGGCTCCATTATGACAGAGGTTGAAATCACTGGTATGCTCTCATTGGTTAGAAAAAAAAAAAAAGGTTAATGAAAAGTATAAGAAAGGCAGTGGTGCTATACCTGGCAGTGTGAAACATTTAGTAAACACTACTGACTGAATGAATGGGGGCAAATGTTTTCCCAACTTTTGAAGGATACCTGGAACCTAGGTTTCCTAAAGCCTAGCAGAGTTCCTGGGTCCTTGTCCTATGGTTCCTTGCAGTGCTGATGGTTTCATGTAGCAGGCAATGCAAAATACTTCTGAAGTGGCAGTTCTACGAGCTGTGGGAACTGTGTCAAGCTAGAATGGGGCTTAGAACTTCCTCTCCCTAGCCTCTGTCTTTACTCTCTGTCTTGAATTCAGTCTACGAACATTTGTGTTTGAGATGGAGTCTCGCTCTGTTGCCTAGGCTGGAGTGCAGTGGTGCAATCTCCGCTACCGCAATCTCCACCTCCCAGGTTCAAAAGATTCTCCTGTCTCAGCCTGCTGAGTAGCTGGGACCACAGGCACACACCACCACACCCGCCTAATTTTTGTACTTTTAGTAGACATGGGTTTTCACTATGTTGCCCAGGCTGGTCTTGAATTCCTGGCCTCAGGTTGTCTACCTGCCTTGGCCTCCCAAAGTGCTAGGATTAGAGGCGTGAGCCACTGCACCGGCCACAGTCTATAAACATTTATTACCTATTATGAGTATGGGGACAAAGAGATGAACTTCTGAATGAGAACACAAATTACACTAGGAGGCAAAATACAATTAAGTGCCATAGGAAAGGTGCAAAGTGTGAACATGAAAGAGGATTTTCCCCTTCGATTTCATTCAATTCATTTCACATCTACTCACATCTAGAGAACATGCTAGTATCCATCTAGAGAGGATGAATGATATGACATTGATGGCCACAGAGTGGGGCAGCCATGAGGCAGATGTGGCAGATTGGCTTGTTCCACAATTGTCCAAACTCTTCGTGGTGTGCCCTCCTACACAACAGAGACTAGAAAACTAAAAATCCATTTCTTAGACTTCTTGCTTTTGGGGCTCCCATTATAATTTAGGGTTAGCTAGTCCCGTGCACCTGGGAAAGATCTGAATTCAAAATTGTGTTAAGAAAAACAAAAAACCAAACACAAAAACAGTTACGTGAAGAGGAGGCAGCAGCCTGGGAGGAATCCACTTTGCTGGTGGTAACCTGGAAGGTGCAGTGTGACTCTGGAGTTCTGCCAGTTCCTGATCCCCAGATTACACCTAAGATGTTGCGTTCCTGTAGTCAGACTGGGCTAGTCGCTGGCCTGCTGACTGTGGCAGAAGTAACTGTTCCCTTGGGGTGGTGGGGTTAGTATGATGGTGGGCTTTGGGTTTTGGGACTCATTCCTGCAAGCCCAAGCCAGAACTTGTTCTGCAATGGTTCCGAGTTTATTTGATTCTTTTTATTAAATTCATGTCTGCTTAAAATCCTAACTGACATGTCATGTTGTGAACTATAGGTGCTGTGAAAGTCAGGGAAAGGAGATGTGTGGATCAGAACAAGCAGAGAAGAAATCTAGAGGACTGCTTTCTTTCCTCTTTCTATCCACCTCCTATGCTCAACCCCATTTCAATCCTACTATCAACCTTCAGATTAATCAGTTGATTAAATATCAGCAACAATGCACCAGGCACTCTGCTTGATGTTGGGGTCACAGTGATGAACGAATAAGGAAGGTCTCTGCTTCCACAGAGCTTAC